ATCCACCTCAGCCTTCCGAGTAGCCGGAATTACAGGCATGCGTTACCACGCCCGGCTAATTTTTTTATTTTATTGTAGAGATGAGGTCTTGCCTGCCCAGGCAGGTCTCGAACCCGCGGGCTCAGGCAATCCACTCACCTCAGCCTCCCAAAGGCAGGGAATTACAGGCTGAGCCACCAAGCCCGGCTAATACTTTTTTTAAAGTTTGTATTTTTATGGGATGCGCACCATAGATTTGGGGCAAAGTTAAAAATTGCAAGTCTCGTGGCTTTAAGAGAAGGAAAAGGGGCGATACAAGCAGAGTTGAATGTTACCTGGGTGACCCAGGGCCCAAAAAAGATGCTCAGGACATGTCCATCTCAGCAAACCAGCAGGGGGCGCTCTCTCCAGCCCTCACAGATGTACCTGTACCTCTCGAAAATAAAGCTTTTATGGGACACAGTTTTTTTAAATACCCATTGCCTAAACAATGTAGCCTTTCTGTTGCCCTTTTATACGGGTTTAAACTATTGACTTTTAAAAACTGTTATTGTTATGGAAATAATTTCCTTCATTTACATTTCTGACCTCTCTGCTTACTTCGCAGCAGAAAGACTATTCTAGTTTTCTACCAAGAAAAAACAAGATTAAGATAGCTAGAGCTGACTGTGTTTTTGGGACCATAAAGGAAGAAGATCTTTGAAGAAAAGTCTCACATTTTTAAGTGTCCACTGAAGCTATCTCAAGACAGTGAAAGAACTTGGGAGTTGAGGTGGGCTTCCTACCGCTTCCCTTTTTTCTGGCATTGCAATAGACTGTGTTAATCAAGAGTACTGCAGCACCTATGGAAATCTCAAGATCAGAAATAAACAGGAACCAAAGTTATAGAATTTGGTTTCAATGGCTCATAAATGACAAGTGGCAAATTCGAATCAACTAATACGAAGTTCATTCTATCTTTTTTTTCCCTAAAATAGATTTCATGGTTTCATGAAGTCTTTTATATGCTCTGAATTTATGTGAATGAAAGGCTTATTGTAAAATATTATAATGCATTTGGGGGTCAAGTTCTAAAGGTATGATTCATCAGCTGAGGAAAATATGGCTCTAAGAAGTGGAATCACTGAAAAACAAATCTGGATTTCTCTGACCTGTTCACAGAGAACTAAAGCAAGGAGGTGATGAAATACTGATTTATTTCTTATGTAAATCTAAGTCTACCAATATGGATATAGTCAGAGTGACCAACAGCCCAGTTCTATGTTTCATCATTGTTATCACTGCAATCTGTCCTTAGAATACTGAATCCAGTTCAGTAATCAACATGCTGTTTTGGCCTGGGCATGGTGGTTAATGCTTGTAATCCCAGCACTTAGGGAGGCCGAGGTGACAGGATTGCCTGAACCAGGAGTTGAAGAGCAGCCTGGACAACATAGTGAGACCTCATCTCTACAAAAAAAAAAAAAGCTGGGCTTGGTGGCATGCACCTGTAGCACCAGCTACTTGGAAGGTTGAGGTGGAAGGATCGCTTGAGCCCAGCAGGTTGAGTTTGTGGTGGCCATGAGCATACCACTGCATTCCAGTCTGGACAACAGAGCGAGACTGACTCCAAAAAGAAAAAAAAAAAGAAATCCTATTTCTGAATGTTTTCATTTTGGAAGGCAGTAAGACCCTGCACTTGATATCAGATACCTTATGTCTCTTAGCTTTAAAAATATGTATATGTTCTCACTTATTTTTTCCTGATCATTTCATTTATCTCATGGTAATTAATGTAATTATATAGAATTAAAACCATCGTAAGGTAAAGGGGCAGAGGAATCTATATAATTAGAAAAAGTACAATATTCTAATATTCTTTTTTAACTGGGTTGTATAATTATATGATAAATATGAAATAAATTCTAGTGAATATAAAATTTACTGACGAAAATCCTGTGAATGATCTTCTTGAAATGCAGAATCTAGTAAAGCCTAATGATACTTGTAAATCAATGCCTGTAGCCATAACTTCAAGTACCTTAACGTTTTATGTTTATATTTTAGGCTGAAGTAGGATACTTTTGCAGAGAGAATGACAAATATCCCTAATCATTCATTGCGAATGTATTAATGGATTAGTATAATCTTCAGATTAAAATGAAAACTTATCTGCTGTTTTGCCAATTTAAAAATAGTCAAGGTTGGCCAGGTGTGGTGACTCACACCAGTAATCACAGCACTTTGGGAGACCAAGGTAGGAGGATTACTTGAGCCCAGGACAGCCTGGGCAACAAAGTGAGACCTTGTCTCTACAAAAATAAAAAAAAACTAGCCAGGCATGGTGGCACCCCCTGTAGTCCCAGCTACTCAGGAGGCTGAGATGGGAGGATCACAGGAAGTCAAGGAGTTGAGGTTACAGTGAGCCAGGATCACACCACTGCACCTGGGCAACAGAGTAAGACCCTGTCTCAAGAAAAAAAAAGTTCAGATCTATCTCTTTTTCATAGCAAACACCTACACCATGTAAGGGGCTACTGTAAACAGTAGAAATGCCAAGAAAATTTATATTTGAAGTGAGAAGACATATATTAAATTGAACCATATGCGACTGCTATCTTTGGAGGTCAAAAATAGTTTAATATTGTCCATTTCATATGCTTGAACTTGATATGCAAGGGTGAGCCATCCCAGACAGCATGTGTTTGGTGTCCAAAGTGCAGTGTGGACCTGCGTGTCAAAAGAAGCTGGAGGCCTTTGGGAAAGCCCCGAGGGGAATAGGGACTTTGAAGAAGAGTAGAACCTTGTGGAGCAAAGGAGGGGCACCCTGGAGAAAGGGAAGAATAGACACAGATGGGAGAGTAAGTACTGGGCTTATGAAAATGAGCAAACTTGCTCTGTGCTAGTAGCTTTCAGTTAAGGGAGTCCTTAGAAGGTAAAGCCAAGAGAGGAGCCGGGTCAATGTGCTTATATTAATGTAGCATCCCATAATATATGTACAGTAGTTTATTCCTTATTTGAAGATGACCAAAACGGAAGCATTGTATTTGAAAGTTTTTTTTCAAAATATTGAGATTATCATCAGTGTCAGAATATGAGAAGAAAAATAGAATTGATAATATGCATTCTACAGTATAGAACGGGAAGTATAAGGGAATCAGGATAGTAGAAGACAAATTCAGACCCGGGCAGTGGCTCATGCCTATAATCCCAACACTTTGGGAGGCCAAGGTGAGAGAATTACCTGAGTCCAGGTGTTTGAGGCCAGCCTGGGCAACATAGTGAGACCTTGTCTTTACAAAAAAAATTGTTTAAAAATTGACTGGGCTTGGTGGCACATACCTGTAGTCCCAGCTACTTGGGAGGCTGAGGCCAGGAAATCAAGGCTGCAGTGAGCCATGATCGTGCCACTGCACTCTAGCCTGGGTAACAGAGTGAGACCCTGCCTAAAAAATAAAATAAAAAAATTAAAAAAGGAAAACAAAATTCAAAGCATTTTTGGGCCATGAGCCTATTTTTATCTGGAAGGAGTTTAAAATCACATCTGCATCTAAATACTTGATCATTGGGTAAAATGTCTAAGTGCCAGAAGAGTCTTCACAGCTGCAGGTCCTAGGGGAAGATGGCAAGTGAGATCCCCCCGCCCATGGCTCCTGGAGGTGATGACCTCACCTGCAGCCCTTCCCACCAGTGCAGTCTCTGCAGCCCCGGAGCAGATGCCAGCCAGCCGGCTGGTACGTGGCTGTATCAACTGGGCCGCTATTGTTACCCTTTAATAACGCGTGACCCTAAGGGTGCCACGGTATTGGAAATTACAGGCTTTCATCTACAGTCACTTCTTGTATACCTGCAAAAATGGCTCCCACTCAGCCATGCTTTCTCCTGCCGTGTCTCCATCCACCAGCATCATGTCTCTCCTCTAGACGTGCATGTGTTTTTACTGTTGTTTATACTCCTAAAATAACTAAGAGTAACAAGCAATCTGCCCACAGGCAAACACACTGGCATTTGAAAATTTCACACAAATAATAAGGAGAAGAAAGGGCAGAGCTGACTGAATTGTGGTCAGGCCCCGCTGTGTGAGCCCACTGGGGTCCCATGGAGGGTAGCACCCGCAGACTTTGCTTGAAGAGCTGATGACCTCCCGAGAGCTGAGTCTCAGTCTAGGTCACTGTGTAGTGGGCTTACAACTTGCATACATCCCCCTGTGGACAATTAAGCAAATTTCCTGTTAAACGTTCAGTTAGAAATGACCTGAAGATCACCCTCAAAGCAGATTTCAGAAGAACAGAGTGATCCTCATTTGTGGAAAAACCAAGTAGGTGCCGAGCTCTGGTGGGGAAACAGCGGTCAAATAATCCTAAAACACAGACCAGATGCAGTGGCTCATGCCTGTAATCCCAGCACTTTGGGTAGCCAAAGTGGGAGGATTGTTTGAGCCCAGGAGTTCAAGACCAGCCTGGGCAACATAGCGAGACCTCGTCTCTACAATAAATAAATAAATAAAAATTAGCTGGGTGTGGTGGCACACCTGTAGTCTCAGTAACTTGGGAGGCTGAGGCGGGAGAACTGTTTGAGCCCAGGAGTTTCAGGCTGTGGTAAGCTGTTATGGTGTCACTGCACTCCAGCCTTGGGGGTGACAGAGTGAGACCCTGGCACAAAAAAATTATTTGAAAAAAAATCCTAGCTGGGCTCAGTGGCTCAGCCTGTAATCCCGTGCTTTGGGAGGCTGAGGTGAGTGGATTGCCTGAGCCCGCGGGTTCGAGACCCACCTGGGCAACTTGGCGAGACCGCATCTCTACAATAAATCAAAAATTAGCCGGGCATGGTAGCACGTGCCTGTAGTTCCAGCTACTTGGGAGGCTGAGGCGGAAGGATCGCCGGAGCCCAGCAGGTCGAGGCTGCAGTGGCCGGGAGCAACCACTGCAATCAAGTCTGAGCGACAGAGTGAGACTCCAACTCAAAAAAAAAAAAAAAAATCCGAAGATACAAAACAAGGGAAAACCACAAAAGAAAACTCGGCAATAGAGACAAGGCTGCTCCCCCAGGTGCTTTTTAGCGATCCCTTCCCTTGCAGTGTGTATGCAGCAGCCACCAGCCAGACCAAGGGAGTGGTCTGTATGTACCCAGGACAGCAGAGGTCACTGGAGAGTACTTCTCTCCTTCACAGGCTGGTCTCCTTCCTGTCGTCAGTGATGCAAGAAGAATGTCAGAAAAAAAAGGTAAGCGTGTTCTGTTGTTACCCAAAAATAAGGCATACTAAGTTAACTTAGACAAAGTATGGCTAAGCTGGGTATGGTGACACACACCTGAAGTCCCAGCTACTTGGAGGCTGAGACAGGAGGATCGGTTGAGCTTAGGAGTTGGAGTCTGCAGTGAACCTGAGCAACACAGGGAGACCCTATTTCTTAAAAATAAAAAGTAAAAAAAATAAGTAAAAATGAAAACCTGCAATTGGTCATCCTTCCATATTTCTTCTCAGGACTCACCCCAATTGGTAACCAATCATTCCTTACAAGATGGTTTTTAAGCCTTATAAATTGTACTTTCCCATTTTATTGAGGTAAAATTATATCTTGCTTATATTATAAGTTGTTTTATAATATCTAATAGTTGTATTAAAAATTCTTATAAAGTAAGTTGCTTGTATAACAGTTTTCCAGGTAAAAAATATTAGGCAGGGCTATAGAAAAGTCCATGATGTAGATGGGCTTGGGTCCCTGGTCTAGTCCTAGCCCATGTGCTTTTCTGGAAGACAAAGAATTTAGGGAACCAGATGGATTTTGTGTGATATCTTGAAAGAGGTTAGGCATTCAGTTGATTTAAAGGGGCTGACCCTAGCGATTTTGCACTGCTCCTGCCCTAAATGTGATTTCTTTCCCGGAAA